CGTCAGAGAGTATCAGACATGACAATTCAATTTTTTTTTAAGTATTGGTGCAATATAGCCCAAACAATGGTCAAGGTAGAATTCAATGCCCATTATGATTATGACATGCATTATCTTTAGATTGGAATGCGAGAGGTTTTTTATTTTCAATACATACATGATTATTCTTTTTTTAATTTTTATTATATACTAAAATAATTTTGAATATCTTATATAATTATAATTTTCATGTTTGTTATTTAATATGGGTCCGATAGTATCGTATCGGATTAAATCCATTTGGATAAAAGAAATTACTTATATAATGTGACCGTCACCTTTTATGCATGAATATATTATTTAGCATGTGTTTTTGTGAATGTTATAAAAAAGGAAAACGAGTGCAAGGTGACACTTTATTTCAAGTGATGTCGTGCAAGTTATCACGTGCAATAATATTTTGCTTCCGAAGCAATATGAATCACAAAGCAAAATTTCAACTTGACCCCTTAGGTGTGCTACCTTTTTTCCTTCTTTTTGCGTTGGAGAAGAATTTACAGGGACTTGGAAAGACTTAGGTGAGGCATTTGCTCATATATATATATATATATATATATATATATAGGTAGGAACTTTTGACACCTCATCTGATAGTCGTTAGACAAAAAAAGATCAATAGTATCATATGCTTACAAATCAGAGTCATTAATCTTTTTTGATCTAACGGCTCTTAGATGAGGTGTCAAACTTCAAATTTGACACCGGTGTCAAAGGATCCTACCTTATATATATATATATATATATATATATATAGAGAGAGAGAAAAATAAAAATTCAGTCACTGGACCGTCCAGTGCACTAAGTTCTCTCGCGAGAACTTAGTGCACTAAATATTATAATGGTGTTTTATCGGGAGAACATAGTTATAATATATACTATAACTGTGCACTGGATCAAATTTTGTATCCAGGCACTATACATTCACTAAACCCATATATATATATATACCATTAGGTGTGACACCTCTTTTCCTTCTCCTTTTTGCGTTGGAGAAGAATTTACAAAAGTGATGTCGTGCAAGTTATCACGGAAACAATTTGGAGAAGACTTTACAGGGACTTGGAAAGACTTAGGTGAGGCATTTGCTCATATATATATATATATATATATATATATATATATATATATATATATATATATACCATTAGGTATATATATATACCATTAGGTGTGCCACCTCTTTTCCTTCTCCTTCTTGCGTTGGAGAAGAATTTACAAAAGTGATGTCGTGCAAGTTATCACGGAAACAATTTGGAGAAGAATTTACATGGACTTGGAAAGACTTAGGTGAGGCATTTGCTCATATATATATATATATATATATATATATATATATATATATATATATATAGGTTATTCTACCTATCATTTTTTTTGTCTACTTTTGCCTACCACCCTCCAACACTGGTAGATCAGAATCTCAAGAAAAGAGAAAAAGATAAATATTAGTTAAGATTCTGATCTTAGGGTGTTAGAGGGTGGTAGACAAATGTAGGCAGAAAAAATGGTAAGTAGAATAACTTATCTCATATATATATATATATATATATATATATATATAGTTTTATTTTTCTTATGTCACGTAAGAGAAATTTTATCTCATACTCTCATTTCGATTTTTGTGCTATGTGTTTTTCTCTCTCTCTTTTTAAATAAAGAAGATCCTACCATTTGTTGTGAAAGTAAGAGAGAAAATTTATCTTATGTGACATTAGAAAATAAAATCAATATATATATATATTTATATATATATATATATATATGACATGATCTTCTTACATCAGTGTAAGAATTTACACTCAATCTTAATCGTTGATTTTTGGTACTAACGGTTATAATTTACTAGAAATTAATAATTAATTAACGAGAATAATTCAATTAATTATAGTCGTTTGATAGTTGAAAATCAATGATTAAGATTAAGTATAAGATTTATTATTCTTACACTGGTGTAAGTTGATAATGTTCATATATATATATATATATATATATATATATATATATATATATATATATATATATATATATATATATAGAATATTAATATTTCTCATATTGTAGGAGATAATTTTATTCCCTACACACATATAAAAGTGTCCGGGGCCTATGTAAGACCATACGAAGAGAAGAAATAGAAAAGAAAATCATAGACTCTATACACTTTTATGTATAATTTATCTTAGTTATGTCACATACATAAAATTATATCATGTCAATTCAAAACTACTTCATTTGTATGTTAAGAAAATTAATTAAGGATATTTTGATAAGATTTATATAATAAATAAACAAATAGAAATATCAAAACACCCTTCATTAATTTTTCTAACTCCCAAAATATATACTTTTGGGATGATATGACATAATATTATGTCATTTGACATGGTAAATGATGATAGGGGAATGATTCGTTTATAAATTTTGTTACAAATTTTTGTAAATTACATTATGTACTCCCGAAAGTACATAGTGTAGTTTATAAAAAAAAAATTTATAAATAACTATCTCCTATATATATATAGAGAGAGAAATCATTATCTCATTTTACATGAGATAACTATCTCATGTTATTCTCACATCATAAGATTACTATCTCCCGGAAGTACATGTGCTATTATTATTTTTTAATGAATGGTGGGTCTCACCACATTATGTGTCTATAGTAAAAGATTACTATCTTTAACAACATAAAAAAATAGAATTTTATATATATATATTGCGGTTAAAAAAAATGTGAACCATTGGAAAACCGAGGTACCTGTACCGCAGAAGTAATAATAGCACAATAACTCCTCTGAGCTCTCTTGCAAGACCCTACAGACAATGCATGTTTCTTGATTCTTCACTTCAGCTTTCAAAACGACACGTCAAAAAAGAATAGATTGCAAAACGACACGTGGGGACGAAAAGGCCAAAATTTAAAATAAAATAAAAAACACAAAAAAAAAAATGCTCCTTTACAACCTCACAAAAAGTTATAAAGAGAAATAAAGGATAGAAACGGAAATCCAAAAAGTTGCATGGCGAATGCAAAACTCTATATTGAGGAACTTTTTGCATTCGCCTTTGAATTAAAATGGGTTAAGTAAACGCTTTTTTTGTAGTGAACGCTCTTATATGGCAAGAAAATCTTGAAGTACATATTTAATTATATATTCGCCTTTGAATTAAAATGGGTTAAGTAAAATTTTTAATTTAAATTAACCATGAATGCATTCCATTAAAGACCTTTTTTCCAGAGCATGTGAGACACAGTTCCTTTAACTTTTTTAATGGAAACATTCCCGATATGTTTATATACCTTCTGCTTTTATTTTATGGAAACATTTTTTTCTACTTTTATTGTAAAAATATTTTGTTTGCTATATTTACATAAAGAGAAGATTAGCGAGACGAATTCACATATGAAAGCAGAAACAATGCTTAATATGGTTTACGTCACTGACGTTATGAGTATTTTTGGCATGTTTTTCGCACTGATCAGAAAGCTCCTGCAAGACAAAGTACTTTTCGACATAAGTCTTGGATGTTCTCTTAATCAAGATAAAAAAATATCGAGAATATATTATGCCAAAAAGTCTAGATAATACAAGATATTTACTTAAAGTGGTGTTTAGTTGAAGATTTCTTAAAATTTATCTATGCAAATCAAATTAACAAAGTAAGAAAGTAATGTTTGGTAGAAGGTTTTACAAAATTTTCCTAAGTGTTGTATTTGCATAGCATTTCTTATTTGTTCATAGAAAGCAAGACAAAGTTACTATTTAGAAAGACAACTTGAATGTGGTATTTTACATTTAGCTAGCTAAATGGCAAAAGAACAACCCACTAGTAGACTTGAATACCTTCATCTAAAGTGCTAAGGTTTCACTTTTTTATGGGGTTATATTTGTAATTTAAAGTTATTTTCCTATTTATATTTTACCTCAAACCAAAGATAGATTTTATAAATCTTACCTAATTTGCCCGGTAAATTTTTTTCTAACCAAACAATTTTTTTTACATTTTTCTACCTCTCACTTTTCAACCATTTCCCTATCAATTACATTTTCCTAGTATTCAAAAAATTTCTCCTCAACCAAACGCCCCTAGGATTTTCATAACTTCAAATAGTAAAATCTTAAATAAATCATGATTCTTATTAGGGTTTTATTAATCTCGTGTCAAAGGAGATAAGTTATCTCATGTCATAAAAATAAACTTGTGAGCTCCACCACCTGAAAAAAAAATTGCACCGTTATCGAAGAGTGTATAGGAGGAAAAACTTATCTCATGTAGCATGAGAATAGTTTTCCCTTCTAATTATATATGAAACCTAAATTAATACTAACTAAATATAAAATTTTAAATAAATCTTAATTAAATATAAAGTCCTAGAAAATAATACAATATCTCTGAGATAAGAGAAAATTTTAATTTTTTTTTTTTGATAAACGAGAAAATTTTAAATTTTACTATTAACCTAATAATTCTTAAATAACAGGACAATTTTTTAATGGAGAGAACATATTTGAAGATGATCAACAAGAGTAATCATTAATTCTTCGTAGTTATCTTATGGAAGTGGAGGAAACCAACCGTATATGGTAATCTGAAACCTGAATATTTTTGTTTAACTCTATTCAATAAAATTAATGATTAAAATTTAATGTAAAATAAAATTAATGATTAAGATTTAATGTTATATATACAGACACGTGCCCCCCCAACCCCTCTCTCCTATATCTCTCTTCTTTCCTTTGGATCCCATGTTTTTTTTTCATCATGAGAAAGAGACAAAACCAAAACAGGGGCATGCATGAATTTCTGCTATAAATCTAATGTAACTGTCGATAGGGAAGCCAGCCAGCTGTACTATGAGTGAAGATGATGACGAGGATGGGTTTGCATGTTAAATAAGACTTGTCCTTTGTCCCTGACCCAATTCTGAAACAGTATATTGTATATTGGGGGTCATCACAATGCTTAGTGGTAGATGGAATTGTTTAGCATGGTGGGATTCAAAAGCATCTTCATCCATGAAGCTCTTGTTGTTCATGGTGCCTCTTATTCTTGTTGTGGGGCTTGTTTATGTACTGGGTTTTCCTCCTTCTTCTTTCTCCTTCACTAGTGGTGGTGGTGCTGTGACAACTATAGAGGGGCATGCATTGTTTGATGAGAAACAGAGAAAAGTGGATCTTCACACTGATGATGACATTGCATTCAATCACTCTTCTTCTCCTTCACTTCCTGTTCAGGCCATTCAAACACTTCAACAATCTGTAAGAGCTCTGTTTTTCACTGTTTTTCTCATTCTGCAATTGGTGATTTTCTTTTTAGGGAAATATGTTGTTCATATTGTGAAATAATTTATCTTATACAAAAAGAGGGAAAGAAAAAAATAGTTCCCATTTAATTTTCGTGTATGTTATATTAGAAAGTTTGTCTTGTACAATATTTTAAATCTAATTTTAATTTAATTTTTTTGTTAGTCAACCACAGGGGTGGAACAATAACAAATATATGGGAGCTCCACCTGGGAAAATTAATGAAATAATATTAAATGATCTTATTATATTCAAAAAAATTAAAATAAAAAATCTTAATGTACAGTTCCCATGAATGCTTTTTTATTTGCTGATCTGTCATACTTTTTTAGGGGGGTTGGTAAACATCTATCATGCATTTTTTTACTTTAAAAATTTTACTGCACATAATTATAATTAAATTTAAATTTTTCTTAGTACTGTTTCTTTTATGGTAATAGTGTTATTATTATTATCAGAGCCTGCTCTTGCTACAGAAATTTAATGGGCTTTTAGTATTGTTTTATTTTCTTCTTTGACTTAGCGTTATGCTTTGTCAAACAACTCGAATTTAGGGAAAAAAGTATCTAATATTACTTTAAATAACTTTGTCTAATATTCTGGGATTGAAAAATTAAAAAATTAGAATAATAAAGACTATTATAACCCTAAAATAAATTAAAATTACAAAAACACCATGATTTTCGCCCCAAAACGACGTCGTTTTGATGAACATTAGATAAAGTTATCTAAACTAATCTTAGAAAACACAAACCCTTTTTTTTTTATGGTTAAATTTAGGGAAAATTGTTTCGGCTTTTACTTATTTAAAAAAATAAGTGAGTTTTATTATAAAGATAAGAGAAAAAAAGATTAGTTGAACTCATTTTTTCTCGTAAAAACAGAAATATTAAACCTTAAACTTATTCAGTATTAAAATAAGGGAAAAATATTTCTGCAGTTACTGCAGATAAATTATCTGCATTTATTTCTAATACGACTTAGTTTTGGTATTGAAAACTTAAAAAATTATAAATATAAAGACTATTATAACTCTGAAATAAATTAAAATTACAAAAATACCATGATTTCCGTCCCAAAACGACGTCGTATTGAGCTTACTGCAGATAAGTGCAGATAACTTATCTGCAGTAACTGCAGAAAAAGCGAACCCTTAAAATAAAGGATAGTATTTAAAAAAAAAAAAAAAAAACTGCAAAGAATCTTGATCACTTAATGAAAGGATTTAAACAACAGCAAAGTGATTTGTTAACTTGGATGTTACTTTTGCAAACATTGCACTAATTTAATGTAGCAATGGTAGGAAGGAAGGAATTAATTACGAATTTCAGACATGAATTTCTGGATTATTCTTTCCTTTCCCCATTAGCTTTTGTAAGTTAGTAAATAACGCAAAGGAAGTTGCGCACCCTTCTCTGGTAACGACTTTTGATGACCTCTCGGTTTGTACTTGGGTTTAAAAATTGCACTTTCGGTATGTGCTACCAAAAAATTTGTTCCTGAAGATACGTGGAACCTTAAATTTTTGGTACTCCATTTAAAAAAGGTATATTTACGACATTTTATTTTCAAAAATATTAATTTTATGTTAAATATTATTAATTAAATAATAAAGGTTATAGATTCATAAAACTTACATTCTATTACTGTATCTTTTAAGTTGAAATCTTAGCATTTGACAGTTTAACTGAAGTTGATGACTCATCTTTTTTTGAACAGAACGAAACCGAAGTTCTCAATGTCTCCAAACCTTGGCCCAATAAGGCTCCTGAGAATGAATTTTATGTACCTCACATGAAACAGAAGCAGCAAAGAAAGTTCAGCATCTTAGATAGAACCGAAGCAGGTTTACTACAAGCTCGATCTGCTATTAGAGAAGCCATAAACATGAACCAAACACAAGATCCAGAGTATGTTCCAGTAGGTCCAATGTATTGGAATGCTAAGACATTTCATAGGTACATAATGCACTGCTTTATTTTCTATGTGAGCTTTTATCCTTTGACATTGTTAGAATCTTGTCCTAGAAGTTTGATTTAAAAAGATACATCTTTTTCATCACCAAATAAGCGTTATTCCAATCGTGACTTTACGCTTTTTATAAATATGAAAGGAATCAGAATTTTCGGGATTTTGATTTTCCCTACTAGTTTTCCGCACATTTATATATATTTGCAATCTCCCATTATATTTCGATTCTTCAAGTATTTGAGGGAGGTCTTGATTGGTAGTGTCATCATTCATTTAATAAATCAAGAGGTGGCACTTTCAATCAAGAGTTTCCTCGGATACAATTGAATGCTTGAAAAATCATGATATAATAGAAAAATGCAAATGTAAATGAATATGCAGAAAACCAACTAAGAAATTCAAAATCTCGGAAATTCTAATTCCCTTAATATTTATGAAAAGGGTAAAGTCGTGATTTGAATGACATGTTCGGTAACCAAAGAAGACCTCTCTTCGTATCAAAGTTCTTATTCATAACACAAGATTCTAACAAACATATCTACTATTAAATATGCACTATAATATTATAAGTGACTCCCAATCAATTGGTGAATGGTCATAAAGGCAAACCAATTCTTTCAATACCACAAGCAAAACAAGGGAACAATATTCATTATTAAAGACAAATCACTCATTAATCAATTATCTCTTTATGAAATTGCTGCGACAGGAGCTACTTAGAAATGGAGAAACAGTTCAAAGTATTTGTCTATGAAGAAGGGGAGCCTCCAATTTTTCACACTGGACCTTGCAAAAGCATATACTCAATGGAGGGGAACTTCATCCATGCTCTTGAGATGAATGAAAAATTTCGAACAAGTGATCCCAAAAAGGCTCATGTATTTTTCCTTCCATTCAGTGTAGTAATGATGGTTCGTTTTGTGTATGAAGCGGACTCCCATGATATTGGCCCCATAAGAAAAACAGTGATGGATTATATCAATCTCATTGCTGAAAGATATCCCTTTTGGAATCGAAGCCTTGGAGCTGATCATTTCATGCTATCTTGCCATGACTGGGTGAGTAGTTCACTACTAATTCATAATCCCTTCATTGTTGATTTAAAATGCACAAATACTTTTAAGTAAATATTTTTAGATTCCTAGAGTCACAATTCCACGAAAAGATAGAGAGACTTAAATTCAAAATATGATCGATGGGGTCGTTTGGATTTCGGACACTTATTGGTATCTCAAAAAAATGCACAAATACTTTGAGATATGATTATGTTGTACTATTTATTTTTTCTTCTGTTTCAGGGGCCAGAGACTTCATTCTCTGTACCTAACCTGTACAAAAACTCTATACGTGTGCTTTGCAATGCCAACACCTCGGAAAGATTCAACCCTTCAAAGGATGTTTCTTTTCCTGAGATTAATCTCCAAACAGGTACAATAAATGGTATTGTTGGTGGGCCATCTGCATCAAGACGTCCAGTTCTGGCTTTCTTTGCTGGAGGGCTTCATGGCTACATAAGGGTTGTTCTTCTTGAGCATTGGGAAAACAAGGATGAAGATATTCAGGTTCAGAAGTACCTTCCAAAGGGTGTTTCTTACTATGAGATGTTGAGGAAGAGCAAGTTTTGCCTCTGCCCCAGTGGGTATGAAGTGGCTAGCCCGAGAGTGGTGGAAGCAATCTACACTGGGTGTGTTCCTGTGCTCATTTCAGAGCATTATGTCCCTCCATTCAGTGATGTTTTGAATTGGAAATCATTCTCAGTTGAGATTTCGGTTAAGGACATTCCCAACTTGAAGAAAATTCTAATGAGTATTTCTCCAAGGCAGTATATAAGAATGCAGAGAAGAGTAAAACAAGTTAGGAGACACTTTGAGGTTCATTCTCCTCCCAAACGATTCGATGTGTTTCATATGATCCTTCATTCTATATGGCTCAGAAGACTGAACATCAGAGTCCATGATAATCAATGAAAAGCAGGGGAGGACCCAAGGGAGGGCGTGGATTTTCCCTAAACTTCAGATTTTTTTTAATTATTAGTATAAAATAATATTTTTGTAATGATAAATATATTATTAATGCTAATAGCTTGCCTTTTTCTCAAAAAAATTATAATATATAGTATTAATGCTAATAGCTAGTCAGTGGCGGAGTCAGACTCCAATTTGAGCTTCGGCCAAAAAATTATATGTGTATTTTTTTTTTTTAAATTTTAGTTAGTTCATATCATAATATATTTAAATTATATTAAATATAGAGTACCTGAGCTAATAGCATCAAGAAAAGTTATAATTTTATTAAATATTTTTTGATTTTATGCAAATGAAAATTGAACACATAATCTAATACAACTTACCCAAATCTCTCACCAAATATATTTTAAGTTTTAGGTAGCGCCAAATTACAAATTATACCTCGGGCCAAATTATAATTTTAACTCGGGCTAAATTATAATTAATTATATAATTATATATAATAAGTATAATTTGTTAAAATTTAACCCGGACCGAAGCCATACGCAATATGTATGTGGCTTCGCCACTGTAGCTAGTACTTTCCATTTGGATTCATTTATTACCGACTCAATTAATTTGGATAAAGATATTGTTGATATTGAGTCTCTTCTATATAGTATTAATAATATCTATAATTTTGATATTTTATGTTTAATTCATTCATAAAAAATCTTGGTAATAAGTAACTCATGACCATACATTTGACAAATTACTTCGAATAGTTTCACATTAGCAATGTAATATATAATGATTATATTCCCGTCGTGTATAAAATTGTCTTTTGTTAGTGAGAAAAATACTTTTGAGTATTGTTCTTAATTTGTTAATGGGGTCACGGTTCCTGTGAGCCGGCAGGGGTTCGGGGCCATCCCGGCGAGGTGTTGTAGAGATTTGATGATGTTATAAGTCTTGGGTTTATTTGTAACTTTTCTTATTTAATAATTTAGATTTAAGTTGATAGATAATTGTTGTGTGGCTTAATGTTTTTTCTCTAATAATAGAATATATTGTATAGAGGGTGATGAGGAGAATATGATGGCTTGCTGGGCGTAATACGTAAATTGTATTTTTTTCTTATTTTATTTTATTTGTAATTGTGTGTTTGATAGGATTTGTCCTTACTAATATTGATATTTTGTAAATTTACAAGTAGTACTATTGATATTTTGTAAACTGGAAACGCAAAGCATCTATAACACGTAAACTAATCAGAAGTATGAAAAAAACCAACCAATAAGGAGGAATGGTAAAGCTCAAACTCCTCAAATTTACAGATCTGCGGAATTGGAATGATTAATTAGAGAAAAACATTTTTATTTAGTACAAAAACATCTCACGTGTCTGTTTAGGAAAGAGGAAATACATACAAATGCATGAGTGGTCGAAAAAGAGAGTATCAAAATACCTACCTATACTCTATGCTTAACATGAAACTTTAACGAAAATCCTTTCTTACAAATAACGATTTTCCTTTTGAGAATTCACTCCATCCCCCATCATAACGAGGCAATATATCACATGGATCGTGTTGACCTTTCGACATTGATATTGGTACAGTGGAAGGAAGCGGTGATAACAACATATGGAAAGAGCAGCTCAGTTGAAGGTACATATAAAATAGCAAGATAAGTCCCTGCCGCTTTATATAGTTCTCGCTTATTCTATAGTAATGAACATATTTATAATAACAGTTTTGATCAATAAAAACATTTACCGCATTGTGTTATATATACATATCTTGAAAATTATTTAATGAGTAAACACCTTTTTTAGTCCTTGGCAATATCTACGAAATCCTTTTTAGTCCCTGGCAATAAAAAAGGATCAAATTGGTCCCTAACAGTATGCAAAAAGGGCTACGTTAGTGACGGGAGAGTTGACATAAGGACTAATGTGACCCTTTTTTCATAATTTTAGGGACCAATTTTGTCCTTTTTTATTGTCAGGGACTAAAAAAGATTTCGTAGATATTGCCAGGGACCAAAAATGGTGTTTACTCTTATTTAATATATGTATGCTTCAACCTTTCCACTTGAGTTTTTATGTAAAAGATTGAGTCTTGGCATGTTATATGAGAAGAATAAGGAACCAACATGATCACTTGGTTAACTGTGTTTAAAAATGGTAGTTTAAACGTCTGTAAGTGTTAAAAATGGAATCTTGAAAGAATATCTTCGCGAAAATGCAAAACTACATTATGTCACGAAATATCTGGATATGATATCCGGATATTAGGTCTGGGATATCCGGATATTGACCTTGTGATATCCGGATATTGATATCTGGATATGTTCTCGAGGAATATCTGGATATTCTGGGAAATTCATATTTTAAGCTATGTTGTCCATACAGAAGCGTGGGTTAAGTTTCTAAACCCTTAATTGGTTAGTATGAACCTCTGTAATAAACTAACTAATTCAAAACCCTTGATATTGAATGCTTATGGCTTTGAGAGAAGCCTATGGTCACTAAACGAAAAAGGAAACGTTATCCTAATGCAATGAACCTCTAGACTGTGAATATTGATGACATTTCTGGGATAAACTGACTGCGACTTTGCTGTTTGGCGACCCGAGGACTTTGTGTGGACTTCTAGTTAGTATTACTAGCTTGACAGGTAAGCTTTCGTGTCCTTGGTTTTACCCATTGATGGTTTCACCATACCTTATAGAGGGATGAATTATATGCATGATGTGTTTTCTAAAATACGTGAATAATATTTAATATACTGTTGAGATGTTTTATATGAGGCACGTACAATATGGTAACTCCGTGGGTGAGGTACAGGGGAGGAGCCTTGTACTGTGGGTTGCAGACGTGCGTAATCCCTACCTTTTATTCTCTGGCAAGTAGGATGCATACACACATGACATAGACATATGCTACATTGCATGGATATTTGTTATTATACTGTTGTTATCTTTTTGAACTCATATTGCACATGTAATTGAGCTTGGGGTGGAGAGATCCTTGAGGACCCCTTGTCCTACTGAGATTTCTTGTTAGAAATCTCACCCCGTGTGGGGCACATTTTCAGGTACAGATGTTCCTGAGGCTGAGACCTCTAGTGACAGGAGGCCGGAGTTGAGCTGATATTATGCATGCTTCTTTATTACCATAGTTGGATATGTTTCTGCCTTATTATTTTATATGGTCATTGTGCTTGAGACATGATTTGACTATGTTGCTTTATTTGGTGAGCAACGGAGTTTTCCATGCCACATTTGAATAAGCTATGTTATTTCATACTAGAGTTGTATTATTGTATCAGGATATGTCTGGTCTACGTGTTGTAGTTCCACGACTTGATACCTTATTTATATTATGAGGTTGGAACTTCACCCTGAGTGCATTGAATGCACTCAATCATGACCTCTGTAAAGCTCAATACGGCGCGCCCTGCACGATGCATGCACTGCCAACAAGCGCACAACTTGTGGATCGTGATAACCATCATAGCAAAACCTGAAACGAAAGGTCAAGCTGGAAAGATAGGACCAAACTCAGACCTCCAAGCTCCAAGTTCGTCTTAATATCGCAGGTCAACAAAAGCTCGACCACGAGGTCGAAGCCGAAAGTCGTAACAAGACCAAGAACTTCAATTTAAATATAACACGACGAAGTCGAAACGCGGACCAAGCACAGACTCATGAAGAATCTGACATATCAAAGGTCGACTTCACATGCAATATCAAGGAACGTTACGTGAACGACCTCGGCAAAATTAATTCCGAGTAATATCGCAAGACGTCAAGCTTTCAAAAGCTCAGCTCCGAGACCAACGAACTTGGACGAATCAAATCCGAGGTAACATAGCAACACCTCGGCATCCCGAGCCTCGGAATACCAAGTTGGGGGACAACTGTTATGGATATAAATATCATATCCCAACTACCTACCTAGGAATCTATTAAGAGATAGAGCCACCAGCATCTCAACAACTCTAAACAGTCAAAGGGCACAAGATAAGGATCACATCCTAACAGAAAGAGAGTTAAATCCTATTGTAATTGGGAGAGCTCAAAAGGCCCAAGCCTAAGACGGTAATCCTTATAAATAAGAGCATAAGGACACCAGGTAAACACTTCTAACCTATTTACGAATACTGTGCACACACCCACCCCTTGGCTATAAGCCTATTGCTTGTGCGCAGTGATTGAGACCTCGGCTATAAACTTAGTATACACCTGATATACATTATCTCTGAGCGCATACCTCATGGTATAGCAATACGGTCTATCCAAGACCTAACAAATTGCAAAAGAAGAAATTTGTTTTTGGCTTACCCTCTAATTCTAAAAAGCTTTTGAATGTAAATGAAGATCATGAATTATAAAGGATAATTATCTTAAATCACCTCACATTCTCAATAAATGTTTTGACAATTAATTAAACATAGAATTAGAAAATTTGAGCTAACATTCCTAGTGATATTTTGATTTATAATTTTTTTTTTAATATTTCCAAAAAATTTAATTTCCCATCCTGAGAAATATGATTTTTAGGAGAAAAAAAAAAAATTCTTTACGAAACGCTGACGCCCGTAAAGATATCTCATAAAATAAAGAATATATCCACACTAATATGCCACGTCGTTGAACACGTGGACCTTACACTCTCTTCCTGTCAGCCTTCTACAGGACCGATATTCCCCTTTCGGTCACCAATTTTAGTTGTAAGTTCCTTTTTTTATTTTATTCTTAATACTAAATTGTCGTTATTCAAATGCTTAGACAGGAATCATCTCTTAGTAAACAGCAGGTATAGTTGCCTCTGCTTCAAACACGTAAGGTGTTTTTAGAATCCTAAGATAGAACTCGTAGAAGATGTCACCGCCCAAAGGAACATAATCACATGATAACGTGTCACACCTCCCAAGCATGCCTGCCAAGTGGTTGCCTTTTGTTCTCACACGTGTCACTCACTCTCACAACAATCTCGTCACTATTCCACTATTCCCCCTTCGTATATATATCATCAAAACGTTACCATATATCTCAATAACAAATAGAAAAGAAAAAACAAGTCTATAATAACAATAGTTTTTGTTGCTCTTTTTTCACATCAGTACAATGGCGTCGAATGAACAATTCAAGAGGGAAAGAGGTGAGGCAGCTGCAAAACTAGCTGCTAAAGATCTTGAAGACGTGAACAGAGGAAGAGAACGTGATTTGAGTGCTTCAGAGAAGCAGCAACAACAACAACAACAACAGGGAGTTGTGGGGTCCATGCTGAGGGCTGTGCAAGACACATACGACAATGCCAAGGAAGCTGTGATTGGAAAGAAGGGTGTTTCGGATTCGGATACTCCAAGGGATCATGTGGCTTATGTTGCTCCTAAGGACGATGAAGGAAAAGAAGTGAAAGAGAAGGCAAAGGAGAGTGCAGAGAAAGCAGGTTCAAAAGCTGAAGAGTATACAGATTATGCAGCTCAGAAAGCAAAGGAAACAAAGGATACAACACAGCAAAAGGCAGGGGAATACACAGATTATGCAGCTCAGAAAGCGAAGGAAACAAAGGATGCAACAAAACAAAAGGCAGGGGAATACACAGATTATGCAGCTCAGAAAGCGAAGGAAACAAAGGACTATGCTGCAGAGAAGGGTAGGGAAGCGGCTCAGAAAGCGAAGGAAACAAAGGATGCAACAAAGCAAAAGGCTGGGGAATACACAGATTATGCAGCTGAGAAAGCAAAGGAAACAAAGGACTATGCTGCTGAGAAGGCGAAAGAAGGAAAGGATGCTACAACGGGGAAGCTTGGGGAGTTGAAGGACGCAGCTGCAGATGCAACCAAAAAGGCTATGGATTACTTGAGCGGAAAGAAAGAGGAAACCAAGAACAAGACTGCAGAGACCGCTGAGGCTGCAAAGAACAAGGCTTCGGAGACCACTGAGGCTGCAAAGAACAAGGCTTCAGAGACCGCCCAGAAGACTAAGGTCTAACTCTATCCTTTAATATGTTTAGCTTAATGGGTTATAGCACCCTAATATAATTAACACCATTCATATCATTCAAATTTAATTATTTTTTTTAAAGTATTTCAATCTGTTCATAACTTCCCAATTAGTCTGATTATTCTGATTTGGAACGAGTTCAGAATTAAAATTTTAAAATTATCTTCAAAAGATCTACAATTTTGAAAAAAAAAGATAATTAAATAGGTCAATTAGCCTCAAATCTGAGGAGAATTATGGTCGTACTATATTCCATTAATTTTTTGTTGTTCTTAATAGAATGAGATCCCCTCATTTTTTATGTAAAACATCAATACTTTTCCGTGAGGGACATGTTACATAGACTGACATATAATATTGAACCATCTATGATGGCTCTATGTTACAGCACGAGACTACTATTTTCCTTGTATATAAATTGTTTTGAATGTTTGAGAAAATTAACATGTGGATGCAGGAAAAGCTGAGCGGAGAAGACGAAGAAGCGAGGAGGAAAATGGAAGACGTAAAGGTGGAAGATAAAGGATATGGGGGGCGTAGAGATGAGGCGGTGATCAAAATGGAAGAGACACGACCAGGAGCGGTGGCGGAAACGCTGAAAGCAGCAGATCAGATGACGGGTCAGACCTTCAACGATGTGGGACGCATTGATGATGAAGGGGTCATTCGTAAGGGCCCCGCCGGTTATAAAATGTGATATATAATAATAATAATATCATGTTACTGATCGGTACATTACAATGTAACTTGTTTCTGTTCCTTTTTGGTTTTCTCATAATAAAAAATGTATCCACTTAATATTTTGTTTGTTCAGAGTATGTGTATCGTCCTAATATTTTTTTCTTAGGTGAAATTTGGTCTTGGTAATTGGTTCTGGGATCTTCTAATGAATGCTTATGCACCGTCTGAATCATTACAACAATAAAACAATGCTCCTCTGGGCCCTGATCATCAGGACTCATATAAACAAAAGCCCAATGTTTTATTAGGGAATGCAATAGGTAGAGAAATGTGCGAGTGACAAATGAAAAGTCTCGTGTTACTATGTGGACATAGTCATTTACTATGTGGGGATAGTCATTGATTTTTGAAGCAGTCTTCTGTTACAAGAACAGTGATATTTTGTATCACTTATTATGTGGGATTACAACGTGGGATTAGAATAAGTTATAGTTGCTTAAAATAAAAGCTAATTATCTAATACTAGAATGGTTTAGAATAAAAGCAGATATAATGTTGGTTAATTTATTAGAATGTATATGATTATTTATCTCTAATTATATTTGAAGGTAGGTGATTAAATCTCTAAATAAGTTAAATGGTTCGGAATAAATATAGGCTGGTAGATAGGTTAATTATGTGGCATTAGAATTAAGTTGAATGGTTCGAGTTGTAGGTGGTCATAAAAGTGTTGAGTAGAAAAAAAAAGTAACAGATAAGTTAATTATGTGACATTATTGAAATAGGAAATAGATTTTTTTTAAACATGGTCTTGTAATTGTATTTCTATTTTAGTTTATCACTACTGATTTATTTTGCGATCACGGCAAAAAGGTTTTGAGAATACGATTTAAATTAATAAAACAGAATTTTTAAATTAACAAGATTAAAAACAAGAACACAAGACCTAAGAATGGATTTGTTTCCGCTTTTAACAAATCATCTACCTTTTCCTATAAATATTCAAGAAGATGATTTTTTCTATATTAATTAAATATCAATCATTGGTGATTTGATCATTTATTTTATTTCAAATCCTAATCCCTTAGCGATCTCTTCTAGAGCAAGTTTTAAGTGTTAGAAAATTATATTTTCTAGTGTTTATGGGTTACATATTATATTAATAATTATATTATGTTATTTAATATATGTTGAGTAAATTAGAGTGATCAAATAAAGATATCCAAATAGACTTCTGTGTTCGCGGTTTGGATTGAATCGGTTTTGGAAGCAAAACTCATCTGATCCAGTCCCTTCGCTCTGATCATGTAATCATCCATTCGGTTTAGATTTTTTTTCAAATCCAATCCGATCCAATCCAATTTTTTTCGGTTTGGATTGGAACGGTTTTCGGTTTTTTGAATATCCTAAAATTAGTTTCATGATTATTGTACAAATAGCATCTTTTGTATATATTGGTTTTGTAAAAAAAAAAAAATTGAAATACAAAAATATCAGTAAACAATACTATATTTGATGAGATGTGACTAAGTTTTTTTTTTTGGTTTAGTTGATGAGTTAATAGGTCTTGAGTTTAGAAATTTTTGAGCTATGATTGGAGAAAGGACAAGTAGGTAGAGGATAATTAATATATTGGATCGGTTTGGATTGGATCGATTTTCTTCAACCCATCCTAAAACCGATCCAATCCAATTAAAATTTGCAGTTATTTTTCGGTTTTCAATTTTTTGATTTTCGGTTTATTCGGTTATCGATTTTTCGGTTCGGTTTTGGCGGTTTGGATCGGTTGATGAACACCCCTACTTCTAAGTAAGTGTGGGACAAATGGGTGAATACCAGTGTTGGGCTAACTAGGTATAATGAGAGTTTTAATGTTTCAAATAACAACACAACAAATAGGGTTAGAGCTATTTGACTGAGGAAGATCGTATACCTAAAAGAGAATATCATACTAAAAAAATAAGGATTAGGCATATTTGACCGAAAAAGATTGGATACTCCAAAAGTGAAGTTTGAAGTTATTCTGTTTTTATGGAGACAGGTATGCCTCCACCTTTTTGTTAATATTTCTTTATTTGGTATGATGGATCTTGGTTTGTTGGTGATGGTTACCACCATAAGGTTAAGAGAATTTTTCATTCCAACAATTGGTGTCACATCCATCATCATATTGAATCATCAGGGAATTAAGTTTTGTGATTTTTTTTTTTGTAAAACAATTTTGTGATTTTAATATGGGGTGTGCATCTATCATGTCACATGACATAAAAAAGTTTCCTACACACACAATATTTTGTGGGACTGGCACTTTTTGAACCAAAAAAAAAAAAAGCTAAGGCACGCAAAATGAATCTCTATAACATTACACAATCACTTTTCCTACAACATAACTCTTATAAAACTCTTTTTTATATATAATGAATCATGCAAAAAATTTCTTTATTTTCTTTTGGCATAAAGTTTATTGTTTTTTGAACATGGGTTCTATCTCATGTATTTTGTATTAGCTATGTAGTGTTATTTTTGTTCCCTAACGGTAAATTTTGGTTTTGGAACAAAAGTTATAATCTTTTGAAAATTTAGTATTCTCAGATTAACAAGGATTTATTATTTAAACTTTTGAATTTGCATAAAGATGTAATGTTTGAAATTTTTTGGCTTTATAATTGATGAGCATTTGTTGTTTGAATTGAGAAATTAAATGAACAATGAATTCTCTTAGAAAAATTTTGGACTTATAGTTTTAAAGATTTCGAATGTTTAAGGTTTTTGATTTTGGGGTTTTCTTACATTCGATATTCTTTGTTAAAAGTCAAGTATAATTTTTTTTGGATATTGTAGTATGTATATATATACTCTGAGGATTGATAAAAAAATAATTTTCTTTATTGTTTCTATTTTATTTTTTAAAAAGGTTTATTATCCTTAAAGGTCTCTATGTGAAATTAAATATGGTAGATTTGTTAGCTGCTAAAGTGGTCAAATTTATAAAGGTTAATTTGATTTCAAAAAGGTTGATCATATAAATGTATATTACTTATGTGAATATTTATCGGCCCAAAGGAAGGTAATTGTTTGGCCAAATAATATATGTTGTGTGATCATGTGTGTGTTTGTTGTTTATGCGGATAATACTCGGCCCAAAGAAAGGTTATTATTTGGCCAAGTAATGGACATACTTGTGGTAATAAATATGTGAAAATTATTGGCCCAAAGGAAGGCTATAATTTGACAGGACTTATTGACAATGTTTGATTACAGCATTAAGTACCACTTACAAGTTTTGTCCAAAGACTGAATGTCAATGTTGTGCTAAGTATCTTGTAAATAAATACATTTGAATTTGGATTATTTGCCAATATCATGTGTGTAAGGCGTTTATGATGGTGTTTAAATAAACATTTGATATAACTGTTATGAGTATGTTATCTTATCTTATTCTCTATATAGTTTCTTCTACTTCTGCTAACTTTGTTGCTCAAGTGAATATGATTCACATACTTGATGGGGCGAATTTCAAGCCATGAAAAGAAAATGTGGAAATTATTCTGGGCTGCATGTATTTGGACAATGCGCAAAAGATTGAGAAACCCACTTCCAATGTAGAAAATTCGAATATGGATACATGCTCAAATCGCATGTGTTTGATGATCATGAAAACGCTCCGTTCTGGAGGTGTTTAGCGGCTCAATAGTTGAGACTGCTGATGCCAAAATATTTTTGAAGGAACTCGAGCAATACTTTGCTCGAAATTGAAAAGGCTGAAATTGGTCAAACCTTGTCCAAACCCATTAATATGAAATACAATGGAAAATGAAATATAATGGAGTACATGATGGAAATGTCTATCCTTATTGGAAAACTAAAGGCATTTAAAGTTAGAGCTTCCATCTGAGTTGCTCATGTACTTAGTTATTATATCTTTTTCTGCACAATATAGTCAAATGGTAAATAGTTACAATACTCAAAAGGACTAATGGACTCTTAATGAGCTCATTGCTCACTGTGTCCAAGAGGAAGAAAAGATTCAGCGAGAAAAAGACTAATAGTGCTCATTTGGCATCAGCTTCTCAGAATAAGAGAAATAAGAGAGCTAAGGACACTGCAGATGAATCACTTATGCTAAAGAAGCATAAGAAACAAGATAAAGTATTTTCCTGCTATTTTTTTGCGCAGAGAAGAAAAATGACTTTTAAAGATATGGTGAGAAGTATGATTAGTCATTCTTCTTTATCTAAGTCGCTTTAGGGAGAAGTAATAAAGACTACAACTTATGTCTTTAATAAGGTTTCAACTAAAGTAGTGACCAAATCCCCTTATGAGCTATGGACTGAAAATAAACCTAGCATAAGGCATTTACACATTTGAGGTTGCTCTGCTGAAGCAAGGCCTTATAGGCCAAATGAAAGAAAGTTGGACTCAAGAATAATCAGCTGTAATTTTGTTGGATATGTTGAACACTCTCGGGGTTTAAGTTTTACAGTCCCACTACAAGATCTTTTTTTTTTTACACGGGAAATGCCAGATTCCATTAGGATGTTGAGTTTTCGGGGGGAGATAAAGTAAGGAATGTTGTCTCTGATGAGGAAGAAGATTATATTTCTCTTTCTAATATAATCGTCATTCAAGATGCAATTTCGGTACAAACAATTAATGATCAGGTACTTGTTCATGACATTATTATGGAACATGTTTTGGTCCCTGACATTGCTTTGGGTCAAGACAATAATGAACAACTTCATTTGCCACATGAACAACAAACTTAAGAAATGCCATTAAAGAGATCCGCTAGAGAATGTAGAAACACAATTCTGGATGATCATATTGTGTTTCTTCAAGAGCAAGAAAATATTTTAGGCTTGAAGGAAGATGATCCAATCATTGTTAATTACATGTTTGTACAAGATTCACCAAAATGCAATTTCTTTACAATCAAGGTTTATTGAATTGCTGAAGTAATGAAAATGGACTCTCTAATTAAATTTTGATATTATAAGGTCACTTAAAGTATTTATATTTATTTCTTTGTTTAGATAATTATATAATGTGAAAAATACAATCTATTCTCCAATAGGTAATGCTTTAATTCAATATCATTAAAGAAAGATAAATATTTGGCTATTTTGTAGATCATATTTTACTTAAATGTCCCTAGAAAAAGTTGTTGGTCTAAACTTGTCAAAAAATGAGAATAATGATTTGTTTTTTGAT